GGGGCCTGCCCGGGGCTCCCGCGCCTCCTCCTGGCGCTGTCTGGCGAGTCTGTCGCTCGGTGCCTGTCTCGCCTGCCCGGGCTCGTCCTCTGGGGACTGGAGTAAGTGCGAGGATGGCGGAGAGGGGAGGCTTCGGCCAGAGCCGAGCGGGCGGCGTTGTGCCTTTCTATCCCTAGAGGAAAAGGGGCACGTCGGGAAGGGCCCCGCTCCCGGTGCCTCCTTCCTCCCCGCCGCCTGGCGTTGGGGGAGCCGTGCTGTGCCCTGCCTGAGCTCAGGGCCGGCTTGTGGGGCCCCCTGCTCACCTCGCGTCCTCCTTCGGGGCTCAAGGAGGGCTTTCAGAAGGGCTGTTCTGAGCGGGAGCATGAGGCTCTCCATTGCGGCTGCCGTAAGCTTGCTCTTCCCGGTGTCTGTGTCCCGTCACTATTTTAAAGAGTCCTGGGAGCACTGAGAAACTACAGGCTGAAAACAAGTTATTTCAGTGGGCCTCTTCTGCAGTAACTGTTCATAAAAGTGTAGCCACCCCTGTCACCTGACAGCAAAGCTGTGTTATACTAACAGTATTAATTTCTGCCCAGTGCTCTGTGCCTTTCTTGAGCAGGTCTTGCTGCTCAAGAGGTGAGGGCCTGTCTTTTCCATCAGGGGACTATGATCCTCTTAATCCCTTTCTCTCACAAGAGGAAAGTGGTTCTACAGTAAGCAAGAAAATTCTGCTCGCAGTACTAAATTTATAGTGTTCATATCTGCTAGATCGGGAAATGAATGCAATAGTAATGAAGTGAAGTCTGGTCTGGTGGATGCAGCTGAAGTACATGAGCAGCTTGCAAAACAGGAATTTGGTGACAGCACCTCATCTTCAGCATACTTTGCTTTTATACCGACTGGGTGTTTTCATCCTTGACTATATATTCTTGTCTTCATAGATATAGCAGGAAAAGAGATTGTTTCAGTAATCTTTTGTGCTATAATGCTATCTTGTGCAGTGTGACTTGCTACATAATGCAATAAAAATATCCCACTAATTGTCCTGTAACTATGCTGATGTCTGTTGTATGAATACAACCTTAAATAATTGCCAGGAGGTGAAAATGCCCTATTGTGCTTTACTTGATCAGTTATTTTAGCCGGAAACAAAACTGTAGAAATCACTTGATATTCAAGTTGTTATTCAACTTGCTTTATTTATTAGGACTAACACCTTCTTAACTTACTTTACTAAGTATGAAATGAGGTATGATGTAGTTTATCAGATACTTACTCCTCAAAGTAGCGGATGAGCGCTCATTCTGCTGATGTGAGAGATGTTGCATTGTTGCAAAAAAGTGTTCATGTAAAAAGACAACTAAAATCAGTATGAATCTTACTTATCAAAGGCTTTTTAAAAATTATTATTTTGGCTCATGGAAAGTAAATCTAATCTACTTAATATAAAAACATTTTAAAAGTGTACGTAATCCCTAGCACCCCTCTGCCTGTTGCGTTTCCTTACTATTTGCGTGTCTTCATAGATATGTAGCTAAATTATCCCCCCCCTTCTCATATGTAATACTGGAAAACTAGTGCATAGTTTTGAAGACTGAAATTCAAGATGTGACTAATTTTTATAAGATTTAGCTAATCTTGGATTATTAAAGTGAGGGTGTCCAGATAAATTTCAGGGGTTGTTCTCAGTGTGCCTAATCACAGCAAAAGGTACAGAAAGGATAACAGCATAGAATGATACTTTAATACTCTGATGTGGAAGACATTAACCATCTTACTGAAAGCTAGAAACAGACTCCTTAGTTCAGGATTTCCTAGGTTTTGAACGGTGTTCATCAGCTGTTGATTTCTCATTTCACTGAATGGCTGATCTGAGTATTGTAAGCTGTTATCATCAAAAATATTTATAAGCTGTGTATGAAAGATAATACTAGTAATGTAGAAGTTCTGCTGAAGTGACATGAATGACATCTGCAGGTAACACCAGTCAGTTAGGTGTGGAGCTTAATCCTTTTTTGCATTAAACTTTATATAATCTTACAGAAAACACCCATGATTTGATGTTAAGGAGCTGGTTGGACACCCATGATTTGGTGTTAAAGAGCTGGGTGGTTTGTAAGTATTTTTCTTCGAAGCCAAACAGAACAGTACTATATAATTTAAGCCCCAAATGTCTGCATTTACTCAGATCAGACAGTGAATTGAAGTGCAAAAGCAAATGTTACGGACGGTGAGTGATACAGTGGCTTTATAAGAATCTGCGGATCTGTTCGCCCTTCCCTCTGTTAGTACATGTTCTCGTTCGCATGGTCATGCTGCCGCCTCGTGGGTGTTACCGGAGTGTTTGCAGCAAACGTGTGTGTCTCTAGTCCTGTAAAAAGCTCGGTGTTTCTGTTAAGGAGTTTAATGATTAGCAACGTAGATGCTCAGATGCAATTTAGGGCTGGTAAATGAGGATTTGCATTTTGCTTTAAGAAATATTTTTTCCGGACAATATTTGACTTCAAGGGGGTTTTTTGTTTGTTCTTTTGTTGTTTTTTTGTGGTTTGTTTTGTGTGTGTGTGTGTGTGTCTGTGTGTCTCTGTGTTTGTTTTGTTTTGTTTTACTATTGACCTTAGAAACTTGAAAAAAAGATTACTTCTATGTGCAACTTTTTAAATGGAAAAATCAGCAACACTTAGTTTAAAAAATAGTCTTCTCGCATGTTTTAATGAAATATAGAAAAAGCATCTTAGGAAAGCAATTATCTAGATTTAAAACTTTCTTTTGTTGTTGTTCCCCAAACATGTAAATATTAAGCATTCAGCTAATCAGCGCGACTAAAAGCAACCTACTTTAGTTTTCCTTCTGCATCAGGGAACTGGTTGGTTCATATTTTTTGGAGATTCTGAGAAAAGAAGGAAGGACATGCTGATCTCATGCTTCATTTGGGAAAGGAGTGGGACAAACCAGCACGTGGAGAAACAAGCACTTTATCCTAGATTTTGGTGTCTAACAGGAGTGGGAATGAAACGCACAGTGTTCTTGCCTGCTCTTGGGACAGCCTTTTGGTTTCTGCCTACTTGCTAGGTATCTGCAGTTTTATTATGAATTCCATAATATGTGTAGGTTCCTTTTGCACATTAATATTTAATGTATTGAACATGTGTATAGGTCACCTTTTAGGTTAGGGATGAATATCACTTCTTGATAACTTATATGTTGATTCTTGTTAGGAAGTCTTTAGCAATTTGATATGCTTAGTGTCCAGAATTGCTTATACAAGGAATTATCTAGAAAGAATTATTTTTCTAAACAAAAATATTTGCTTTGGAAATTCAGTACCATTGTCAGAGAATTTCTAAGTTTAGACTTTAGAATTTTTTTTTAAATCTGGTTTGTGTTGGAAACCATAAAGCTAGAATATCCCCTATTTTCCCCACTTCAGGATAAACTACACAGAATATTATACTGTAATGAGAAAATTTCTTAATGCTTTTTTTCTGAAGGATAGTGTAGATTTAGAAAGTGGTTAAAGAAGCTGAAAGATCAATCATCTTCATCCATGTTTTCTACTTTCAGAGGCTAATAGTTTATAGAAATAAAGGCATTTCAATGAAATAATTTAGATACATATGTAGTGTAATTCTTAACACAGAAGGAAAAACTGCGCTGAATTCAAAATCTTATCTAAAACACATTGAAGGGCAGACAATTTTTGTGCAACCCAGTGAAATATGTCAGTGTCTTTATGTAAAGAGTTCATCTAAATACTTCTCTCCAAATACTCGCTTCAGTTATGAATGTTTGCCCAGCATTTTGTAGTTCATTTTCCTTCTAAAGCAATTCCTTAACATTGTTCTACTTTACTGCTAGTATTTCTTCTGCAGCAACTGCATGTTTACCTTGACATTCTTTATCCAGCATTTCTGTTAGTAGTTTTCTCAGAGCAATTTGTATTGCTCGTTACCAGATTTTTTCTGTGACTTTTTTTCCCTCCCCTAGTATTTTTACATACTTATATTACTCACTAGCCACCACCTATATAAAATCCTGTCCATGTGGATTTATATTCTGGTAAAATGGTAACTTGTAATCCTTATTTTAGTCCCTTTGTAATAATGTTCTAATCTAAGAAAATCATCCTGTCCTTTTTTTTTATACATGTTTTCGTTACTCTTGAAACTCTTTTGTCTGTCAGTCATTCCCCTTCAGAAAAAAATATTTTAGCCTTCTCTGATCATTTATAGATCTCTGTCTAATCTGACACTCCTAAACATAATTACAATATCAAGCACTGATAACACTGTTCATTCATAAACTTCAAACATACTTAAAGGCTCCAGTTAAGCCTTCCATGACCAGTGTAAGATGTTCTGTTACTTTAATCTATTGTAGCCTACATGGACTGAGTACCATATCTGGTAATTGAACTTGAAAGATTTTAATATTAAATGTTATTTGAAAATTAATTTCAGGAGTACTGATCTATGAACTGATGTGACAGTTATGACCTCTGATTTGTAACATCTGTCCTGCAAGAGGTGCCATTGGAAAATGTATTTGAGTTGTTAGAAGGCTTTTATTGATGAAACACGCTGTCACCTATCTGTGGCATTGATAGCTTTCATCCGCTTCATCCAAGATAATTTTGTAAACAATAGCAGTGATTACTAATCTGAGATTAGAAATAATGAATCTTCCCTGGAAATGTTCCCTTTGACTTTCTGGCCTGTACTGATGTGCTTGCTATGTATTTCACTAGGGCACTGGTCTTGGTCTTCTGAGATAGTCAGCTCAGATGACAGTTTTGGGAAGAGCAGTCGGAGGCTGAATGATGAAGAGATTTAATAATCAGCTGGGTTCACACATGTTAAAGTAATGTGCAGTCATTGAGCGGGTCACGCTCTCAAGGGAATGCTAACTCTAGTGCTATCAAAAAAAAATCTACTGATAAATTTAAAACATATTGACTTTGTGTGGCATGCAATCAAAAGCCGGTGGCAATAACACAGCAGGGTTCTTAATCACTTTGCTGTTACAGTCGTGCTCCTGCTGTCATATTTCCAAAGGTTCATTTGTTAATTTGTTGAATAGAATGCTTAAGCAACTTGTACAGTTTCCAACTTCTTCTGTGCTATGAGTATATATAGCGCAATATTAGACTTCCAGATAGCATGGGGGAAGATTTTAGAAAGAAATTACTACATGTGTATTTTGCAACACTATGTGGAACGTATTCTCATGGGTCTCAATGGGCTTTTAAATCTGTTTAGATTTTTTAAATTTAGGTTCCTTGTGGGAATGTAACTCTTGTTAAGCTGAACACATGATGGGGAATATTGGGTAAACTAGTATACATACCTCTTCAAGTCAAATATATTACTTGAGTGTAGATTATTGCTGCCAGAGCTGCAGCTGAATCTTGGGATTTTGCAGCTGTAAAATCTGACCACTGGCTACTAGTATTTAACTTGTCTATTTAGCTGGAGTGTTAAAACCATGATGGCTTAGTACAAGTTATGGTGGTATTTGCCTGATGCATTGCAGCTGGAAAGGTGATCTCTTTGGGAGGAGGGGGCATGACAAAATATTAAATAAACAAACAAAAAAAAGCATCTGTTTAACTCAGTGGTGGTATAGGTCACACAAATAGAATGTCAAGATAAGCCCATTTGTCCTGGTATGAACTGGACTTTTCTTCTTTCCTGGTGAAGTCATCTTCCACAACAAAGAGGTTATCTTGTTTCAGCCACTGTCATATGATGTTTTCATCCTTTTCAACAAAAGATCTTGAAAATTACTTCCGGGAATATATATATATATATCTGTCTCTTATACACATC